TAGTATATAAGTGCTTTGTTAGTAATTCTATCGCTCGAAGTGGAGTCGAAAGAGATGAGTTTTCAGTCTGCGCCGGAAGATGTGTAAGCTTTCTGCTGTCCTGATTTCAATGGGGAGCTCATTCCACCATTTTGGAGCCAGGATAGCAAACCCACGTGTTTTTGCTGATGGGAACTTGGGTCCCCCTCGCAGTGCGGGTGCAGCGAGCCGTTTGGCTGATGCAGGGCGGAGTGCACGTGCTGGGGTGTACAGTTTAACCATGTCCTGGATGTAGGAAGGGCCAGATCCATTCGCAGCATGGTACACAAGTACCAGTGTCTTGAAGTGGATTCTAGCAGTTACCGGAAGCCAGTGAAGGGAGCGGAGGAGCGGAGTGGTGTGGGAGAATTTAGGAAGGTTGAAGACCAGACGAGCCGCTTCATTCTGGATGAGCTGCAGAGGTCGGATGGCACATGCAGGCAGACCAGCCAGGAGGGAGTTGCAGTAGTCTAGGCGTGAGATGACGAGAGCCTGGACCAGAACCTGCGTGGCTCTCTGGGTCAGCTGGGGACGTATCCTCCTGATGTTGTAAAGCGTGTATCTGCAGCAGCGGGTTGTAGCAGCGAGGTTTGCAGTGAAGGACAGTTTGTTATCTAGGGTCACACCCAGATTCCTTTAGATAGAGTTATTAAGTGTCACTGTCATTAAGTGTAATACATTTAATAAATAATTAAGTTAAGTGCTCAAATCTCTTTATTTTCTTTTACTATCCATAAAAACAGCTCGGCACAGAAGTGTGTACTTGTTGAACTGTCGTGTTCAGGTGGTGGAACTGACAGTTATTGAGTCACCACCCTGAACCTGCAGCACTGAGCGATAACATCACACTTTCAGTCCTGCTTTGAGCTTCTGCAGCTGCATGAAACACACTCGCACTGAACAGGTGTGACTTCCTGCACTTTAGAGGACTTTAAGTGAGAAAACAGAAAGCTTTGAGAGACGTTCAGACAAACGGTGAATCGGTCTGCTGCTCGGATGACTTACTGTGTTGTAGTTAGTTTTTAATATTGAACTGTTTTTTATTAAGATGTAGATTTAAGAGACGTAAACATATATATTGCAACGCAGCCGGTCTGACTATAACCTATATTTTCATTATTGTCATCAAATTCCATGAAGATATCGAGACTACATGTTTGTTCATTCCTCATTAACTCCTGTCTGGTTCTCCGCTCCAAGCCAATTGGTTACTGCTAAATATGTTCATCTTTAAAAACACAAATATAGAGTCTGCCTTCTTTAAAGGAGGCTATGTCAATTCTGCTTCAACGAACAGGAGGAATAACTGCATTTGTTTGGGACTATTTTCACCGCCGCATTAAACCACATTTAGTGCTCTAGTGAGTATGTGTGGCAGCAGGAGAGTGTGTGTGCATGGTGATGAAGGAACATGTCACTAGTGCAAAGGTGAGGCTCACTGAAGAGTTTTTTAATAGTTTTTACTGAACAATCGAGCTCGACGGCACAGCGGAAGAAGATGAATCATGCTCTGATACATTCATTGTTCTCTTTTTGGGGGATCTGTTGAAAAAAGGAGCAGCAGATCATTAGCTGTAACCTTTATATACATGTCCTGTGTCTAACCAGTTCTTCATGTGTCCCTCTCTCTCAGCTAGCCTCCTGGGAGGCTCCTCCCGATGCCATGGCCTCCAGCCACGGCTCCTCCCCCGTGCCTCGTCCAGGCCGAGATGGGATGTATCTCAAGGAGCGGGACGCCCCCCCCCCTCGCTGCCGGAGCCTCCGCTCGCTGCCCGACGTCTGCCCCAAGGAGCCCTCAGGTGGGATCATTTAAGGCTCCTTTGAACTGATTCATCTGTCCATTCAAGATTCAAGGCTTTATTGACATGTGCACATTAACTACAGCGTAGATATGGCAATGAAACACTGAGGTCCCAGGCTCCTCCAACAGAGCAACATGAATATATATATATATATATATATATATGAGGACATACAACAAATAAAACAGATTAAATAGTGCAAGAGAATGTTTTTCAGATGTGCAAGTAAATACAAATAAAATAGAAATAGTGCAAGAAGAGTCTTCAGTCTGACTGTAATTCGTCCCCTGTGCAGGTGAGGGGCGGGGCCTGTGTGACGGCCCCTCGGTGGTGGCGGATCTCGACAGGTGGACCGTGTTCAGCTCGAAGGTGAACCTCCCGGCGGCGCTGAACGACCCGCGGCTCGCCAAGAGGGAGTCTGACTTCTTCACCAAGACGTGGGGGCTGGACTTCGCCGAGACCGAGGTGATGCCCTCCTTCTACCTGCCCAACATCACCAAGGAACACTTTGCCCCCTACCTGCAGGAGATGGCCCAGGTAACACACACACACACACACACACACACACACACAGACAGACAGACAGACAGACAGACAGACAGACAGACAGACAGACAGACAGACAGACAGACAGACAGACAGACAGACAGACAGACAGACAGACAGACAGACA